TACACTGGTTATCATAAATTAAGGAAAATTCACAAAAATCGCGATAACTCAAGAAATTACACATGGAATTTTATGAAACTTACCCACAATATACAACACATAGTAAGGTATTAAACAACATAAAAAGAAATTATCAGACATTAATAGTAGTATAGAAATTAGCACATGTATAATATATATATATATATAGTTATTGTGAAATTTTATTCTTGTCGAAAGAAAGACATTTGACTTGTATATGCAATTAAACAAAACTCAATTTTGCAAATGAATCGAGATATATTTTTTTACAAATTTCAAAATTGAAATAGCGAAAATAACAATTTTCCTTCTGAAATATTACAGTTCTGAATATGTCTTTTTTTCGTAATTTAATTATTCTGATAAATAAAAAAGTATGCGATAAAATTAATGTAAACAATAAAATAATAATAAATAATTTCTGCTAAAATCATTCAAATATTTGTTGCAAACGTGCATGCATCGGTAAAGGGGATATATAGAGGGGAGAGTCAGCTTACGCACTCGCAGTGGCTCATTTAACTCCATTTACCCGGATAGTAAGGACCTCGTGTATTTTGGCAAAACTAGCTCTCCTCTTCCGTACAATTCGTAACGAAGTATGGATGATGTTTTCAATACGAATGTAAACAAAAACAGTTCTCGAGCTCCTTACCAGCACAACTTCCGCTTAGTAAGTTTACAGCTGCTTACTGAAGCTTACTGAGGGCGGCGGTATTTTCAAGCAGATAATTTTGTTTACATTAAAAGAAATAAATAATATAATTTCTGAGCTCAAATCTGCTGAATTTCATTAAATATGAATGATATTAGGTAATTCTGGTTAGTTTGAAGTGAAAATTTGCTTTTATTATTTATAGATGCATTGTTAAAAAAGGTGAAATGATTGCTATTTTTAGAAAGAACTCACTGTTTTGGTAGTCCTGATTTGGCTTCTTTTGTTCACGTTGCAAGTAGTCCACCGCTTAGTTAGAGTAGCCAGATAAAGCTTATTTTGCAAATTATCCTATAGATTTAAATTTCGGAGTTAGTACCTTATTGACAAGGTAATAAGTATTTCATAACGATTCTCATTCCAATTTAATTTCAAATCTTTATTACTTTTCCACTTACACCTTTACTATATTTTCTCCATTTATGTCTATTATTATGTGACTACAGGTACTGTTTTCACTATTTACTGCCTTTTAAATTAATTACTGTGATCACTCTTTACGCGTTGAGCCAGATGAAATAATATAGAAAACACTACACATTTCTTGCAGCAAAGGACTGCCGGCAAAATTTCGGTAAACATCGACAATTTCGCAGAGAATATCTTCCTCGTGATTAAGACTGTCTTTGGTGATGATTGTGTATCGGAATGTCAAGTTTACCGGTGGCATAAGACGCGTTTTTAAGACTGTGAAGATGTCCACGATGGATGGCCACAACTGACGTAAACTTTTTGGCAGAATATTTGCACCAGGCTCTCTTTTAAGTGTTCGTTTAATAGTAAAGATATTTAACAATCCATAAGGTGCCATTCACAACAAAGATTATTACGAAAAATGAAGCATACGAAGAAAACTACCATGCTACCCGCTTCCTGGCTGATTCAAAACAACCAACATCCTCATATTCCTAACATTTCTCCCCTCTCCACTTGTAAATTCCTAGAAAAAACATCATTTCGAGACAGTTGACAAAGTCAAAGAAGCTTACATCAAGGCTTTCAAGAAAATTCCAGGAATTGCCTACTATGATGCTTTCAATTGCTGTCAATGTATTGACGTCAATGTATTGCTGTCAATGTATTCAATGTATTGACGAAAGACGAGGCAATATTGAAATACTTTAATGTATAATATATTACCGAATAAATAAATAAATGATTTTTGATGGACGCCCTAACATTACTTATTGGTTAATCCTTGTATAATAATTAGAATGATTACATAGAGCATGAGTGTATAAATTAGTTGTTAAAAAGTATTCATTTACAATTTAACAAAGTTTTATAAACGGCAGTATTAAAGTATTTTTAAAGAATAATTAAAATTTTTATTGAAAGCTAACTTACAGATCTCTTAATAAGTACTTTGATAAAAGGAGTAGTGGTTAAAACAATAATAGCATTATGACACAGATGAAAAGTACTTTTGACTTGATCTATTAATACTCCTTAAAATATGAATTCCCCAGCAAATTTTAGAAAAATGTTCGAAATAAATATATAGAAGGTCGGATTTCAACATTCGTTTACGCCTTCTCTCACTAAAACAATTCCTTAAATTAGCCTGAATAATAAAATTTCCTGCACGTTTCGGCGGAAACAAAAGCAAAAGAACGAATACTACTCCCCCCCCCCAATTTGTATAATACTTATGTATTCTGTACAGATCGGAACTTGGTGTCGGTTTAACATATCTTTATCTGCTACAGTATTACTCTCAATGGCCCGGAAATGAAAATGTTGCTTCTACTTCTTTGGATCAATACTTTTCGAAGGTAACTCACATACACGCTCCTCTTTCTCTCATGGGACGTTTACCTTCCGACGGCAATCTCTCCTTCTCAGAATAGAAAGTTAAATAGAGTGATCAAATGCAAAATTATTATGCATAAAAGTTCGACTTTTCGAATTAGGAATGAGTAATTTGCTCTTTGGAAGGAATTAATTTAAAATTCAGGATAAATTGGAAATCTGACTTCACAGCTCAAAAGGTCATTCAGGTGCTGTTTCAGATCTGCAGATTTCGTGATCATCACATGTTCTGTTTCCCCAAGATGTAATAACAGAATCAGCGGATACATGTGGAATAAAGTTTGCTCCTGTAGCCTCTAATTTTAATTTTAATTTAGAAATTTTATTTTATTTTATAACTGTCGTTGAACAGCCGACCCAATTTTGAATTTACGTCTACCAATGTTCAAAACTCCGTAGCCTTGCAATTTTGAACTCAATCCAGAAGACAAGGGAACTCCTGGATCAAGTATTGAGAGAAATTTGCCTTCGTGGAGGACTTTTTGATAGAACTAACAAGCATTTGCATTGCGTGGAGAAGAAAACCTCGAAGACCTTTCCACCACGGGACTCTAACCAATATCTCTTAGAAGAGAGAAGGCCTTTGCACGGGTTGACATACATAAGAAACTTAATCCTTTAGTAGTTCAAACATAGTAGCATCTTTCCTATTTTTTTTCAGTGAGCATTTTATGTTCGTTCAGTCGCACGACTAAATATCTAAGTGTTGAAGCCTTCTCTCCTCTAGGAGGTGCTGCTCTAACCCATTATCCGTCTACCTCTGAGGATATTTTACGTCAGCACTGCGGTCGGTGAGAACCGGGTGCTAGAGCTAGAAGTTGATATATACAACCATTTTAATACAATGTATTTATGGAGGCATNACTTCTTAGAATATACAACAAAAAAAATCTATTATTTTGAAATTATTTAGTGTAAAGAATGAATTATTTGATATTATAAATATGTTTTTGTTGAAAAAAATAACCTTAATTATGGTTTTAAAAAAGGACTATTGTAAATGTTGAGAATAGTTATCAGAAGTTATAATTCTTTATAATTCTTTATTTTTAGAAGTTATAATTCTTTATTTTTAAATTTAGTGATTTTATTTTGAATTGAAAAGCTCGATGAGAAATATGTACTGAATTTTTTTAAAATGCATATACTTTCATAATTTATTTAATATATTGTTATTAAAAAATTATACGTTTTTCTACTTTTTTATTGGCATTTTGCTTAAATAAGTTCATATAAAAAATGGAAATATAAAGAAAATTGTGGATTATAGATTATAGATTATTGGATGTAAAAACGAATGGAAATGTGTAAGTAGTCGAAACTTCACTTTCCTAGACAATGGAAATCCATCAATGATCAATAAATTGCTGATAACAGCCAATAAGAATACGTTTCGATTGGGATGGGAATATAAATCCTCCAATAGGAATGGTGCAAATGACAATTGATTGGTTTATTTAACTCAAGTAATATAATTCAGCCACTCACTTGGACATCTCTCACTTGGTCATCTATCATAACTTTGTTTTATGCACATTAAATTCTGACATTGTTTCTTAATTAATAATTTGGAATTTTTGTCATCAAAAATAAATAATACTTAAAAAACTTTGTTTTAATACATATGCAAAGAGGAATAGTCACGTCTGCCAAAAGAACGTACAAAAGAGAAACTCATAGCAATTACTTTCTTTTCTCGTTGAAGTTTCTGTTCGGCAAAACGCCATTTCACTCCTACGAAACCCGTTGAATCAAAAAGTTTGGCAATGATTCTACTATTATTTTCCTCCCTTCCGTTTTGCTTTTTATAAAGTTTGTTTAATGGAACAGCTGTTCAAAAGTCGTTGTCGAAATCTTGGCTCGAAGCCACCGTAAATGACTTAATATAGCTTCTTGACTTGGGTGGTTTTTGCCTTTTTCATCGCCGAATAAGTTTGTTTTAGTTCGTGCGATTGAAAACCACGACGATTGATGTTTAGTGTGGGGTGGATGTTGTGTATCTTGAAGACAATTTTGTCGCCTCTGGACCAAGACGAGAAAATGATTTAGTCATGTTTTGGCACGCACGGAAACTTTCGCTGTATAGTGAGATAATGAAAGTCAATAGAAATGGAAAATTTAAAAAGCTAGCTTAATTTTATTATTTAAAGCAACTTTTTTTATTTCTACTACTTCATAATTAATATTGATGTCACTGCGTGCAAGATTTTTATGCAGAGTATAGAGTTTATGGTGTAGAATTAAAAAACAACTGACGAAATTAATTACAAACTCTAACGAACCAATACATTTCTCGAACCAATACCACCTGACACCACTGATCTTTATATATGTTACTGGATTACTGATTCAATGCTTCGAGCTCGAAGCCTATGTTGGTGAAAAACTGAGATGAATCGAATCATAAGGTAACCAGAATTATAGTATTATTGATATTTCAATGGCTTCATAATTTTTACAATTAAGCAATCCACTATTTTTTGAGTGCATATTGTTGGGTGTAACTAGTTATTTTATTAGCATCCATGGATACGTTATTTTCAAAAATTAAAGTATAGTAAGGTAAGAGGTAAAGTATAGTAAAAATTAAAGCGTAAAGTATATTAAAATTCAGCATAAATTTTGCAGTAAAGCGTAATATAATGCGTTAAATATAAAGTATTAAATATAAAGCGTAAAGTAAAAGTAAAGTGTCAAGTAAACTAAAGCGTAAAATTTTAAAATGATGCGTAAAGTAAAAATTAAAGCATAAAATAAAGTTAAGCGTAAAAGTATCAAGTAAAGTGTAAATTACGATGTAAATTAAAGCGTAAAGTAAAAATTAAATTAAAATGCAAAGCATCAATTGTAGTAATGTGTTAAGTATAAAGTAAAGTAAAGAGTAAAATATAAAGAAAAGTGAATCAGTTAAAGAAATAGTTAATAAATATATATCAGTTAAGGAAATATTTGTTCAATCAAATGAGAGAAAGAAATATTTGTTCAATCTAAAGGAAGAAATAAATGGTCTATAAACCGTTTAGCCAACAATCTTATGTGGTATGAAGGATGATGGGAATATCATTGTCGCTGCTAGAATATTCTATTGGCATAATATAGCGATTTCCTCTTGGCCCCTACCTGATAAAGAGATTGCTATGTAACTTGCTTTGAAGAAAATTTTTTCTCCATTTTTCTCTCAGCAAGATTAAGATTGAATTGGAAGAAATCTAGGTTTTAAAAGGAAAATTTTTGTCGGCAGAACACGTATTCACTAATGAAGCAAAATCCATGTTTCGTAGTTCACATTCTTAATTCAATTAGTATCTTTTACCAAAAATTATCAAACATTACTGGCGTCAATAATATAATGGTGATTCCTTACCTTTCTCCTAAATGAATACCCCAGCAGTTAACTAATTCTTCTTATCAGTTCACAACTTTTTATTTTAATTACAGTTGATTTTAAATTATTTAATTTTTAGATATATGTTTTAAAAGCATTTAATACGTTCTTATAGCATGATCGGGTACTCGCAACTAGAGAAGAAGAGAATCAATTATGCCTAACCATGTGATTTAAATCAGATTTAATTGGATATCTGTAATCGTCGTCACGCGTTTCAGCCGACCTTGATTGGCTTCTGAAGCGACAAATGCAAAGATTTACTTACGATGACGTCACTTGGAGGTATCCAATTATAAAAAAATAAGCACATGGTTTCAGATTACTTAAAGAATACTAATTTGGAGACATAGTCCACCTATGCTACCACTCTTCCGTTGATCATTGAGTTCATCTTAAATGATGAAAAAGTTAATTAAATATTAGAGAACGCTCCTTTTTTTATTCCTGAGAGCTATAAGAAAGCAAACATCCCTAATGATTTCTTTAAAATATTCGAAGAAAAAATATAGTCATCAATTTAATTTACATCAATGGTGAGTTCTAAGCCAATGAAAAAAAATTCACTTTTCATACGTCTTTCAAGACCTACTGAAAGGTTTAATAGATTTTTTGGATATGGGCTGAAATTTCCCCTTTTATCCATTGTCCAAAAATTCATGAAAGATGGAATTATTTAACTAGAAAACTCCACCATCAAAAATCCCTTTAAAATTTCCCTTTCCCCAAATTTATAAAAGAAAAATACCTCCCTACATTATCAAAAATATCCTCTTAGTCAATTTTACTGTTAAAAACTTAAAAGATATCTAGAATATTTTAAAAATAGTACCCCCTCAGAAAGAAAAATGCCTAAGGCAACTTTCCCTCCTGAGGGTACTCCTGTTGATGAAAGAGAGACTTCTTAAAATTAGACAGCTGTTTTCTTAACAGGCACTTGAAATCTTCCTTTCAGAACGCACTCAAATACTAGACCTTAGGGCCATTATTTCTGAGATTTGTGAAATTTATAGTCAGGCAAAATATATCAATATTTCTTCAATTTTTTTTCCAACTAGCGACCCTGCATTTTGCTCCGTTTGTTCACCAACTTTCACAATTGCATCTTTCTTATTAAGAGTCAATATTTCCTACAAAAATCATTTTGTTAGTGCGATATTTTGTTAATGTTATAATTATTAATATTTTAAACACATTCTGTTAATTCCTACGAAATGAATGATTATTTTGATTTTAAGAATATTCGCCTGAGCAAATTAAACTTAGGAATACAGCTCGTAATTACATAATAAAAAGAAACTAGAAATAAGACATAAATTCTTAGTAATTAAAAATAAATTATAATATATAAGTGCGTGTTTGCCGAGCAGTACTTCATCAGGGGACTATTTATATTATATCGTATACATTATAGTTTATTTTTAAGTATTTTTAATTATTAATAATTTATGTCTTATTTCCAGTTTATACAATACAAATTTGGTTTCAGCTGCCTTGTGAGTTTTTACAATTTGAATTAATAAAGTAAAGTTTCAGTGTGTTTATTTTCCTCTTAGTTATCATTATAGACCTAGTAAATTGTATTGATCTTGTGATTGGATAATAAAAAGAAATTCATAAGAATTAATTTCTCTCGTTGACTTGACTTATATCGTTGTAACAGTTCAAATTGGCAATGGTTTTTTAATGTTAAATTATCCATTGGTCAATTGTTTGTTTGACTATTAATTAAGGTTAATGGTTTAATTAAGTTTATTTTGTATATTCTTAATAGTTTCAATATGAATGTTAAGATTTACATCTGGAATCTCTTTCTCTGTTACTTTCGACATGAACTGAATCTCGAGTTCATAAAATAACAATCTGGAGAGAGATGATTAAATTTTTATTACAAATTTTATTCATCCTTCTGGAAATCGTTAGAAAATAGATAAACAGTCTTTCATACAAGCACACAAAAATCGTATAAAAAAGCACTTGAAATTGCAATAACTTTCAAACAAATTAGAATAATAAAAAAAATCGAATAAAATTCCGCAATAAAAATGTCCCTTTTAGTGCGTCAAAATTTTGCCCTAGAGATGCCTTTCTGCGTTGTGCAGAGCAGTCTGAATGGTTATATTTACTGCAAGTATAGTAGTTGATAATTTTTGTACAGATTATCGATTTTAAAAGATTTTTTTTGTTTCATTGTACTCCTTGTACATTTTTTACATACCTTCATAATTTTTAGTTTCAAAGTACAATGCATTTTCGTATCAAAACAAAATGCAACGTAAAATTATCTTACGCTAAACAAGTGATAAAAAATTTGAAAAAAGCACTTAAAACTGAAGTAACTTTTAAAAAAATTTAAAATTCGAAAAAAAAATCGGGTAATGTTTTTAAATAAAAAGGGCCAACTGAACCATCTTAAATTGGCTGTATTTTACCATTTAAATCAAATCAAATATGTTTCCCCTCCCGTTTTAACATTATAGGTAGAAACTTTATTCACGTCGCACTTGAGCTGATCAATAGGCTATTGGCGATGGTCTAGGAAAAATCCATGAGAATGATCCGAATACATAGCATTACAATTTTGATCCTCAGCAGAGAGTAGCTCCCCTGGTTTGGTAACCCGATGACCTGCGCGCAATGTCGAGCACTTAACGGGGGAACAGCTTAACGAGGAATAATACTGCACACCCTCTGTCCCTACGCAGACTGATCAAAAGGGTCATCTGTCCTCTTAATGACTGCAATCAGTTATGCTTGACTTAAGTCTTCTACTGGGAACCGTGTCTCTACGATCAGACCACTGCGGGACTCCTCGTTTTACTATAAAAAACAATATTATTGTTTCATCTGAATTTTTAGATTTTCTGCTGAATTTCTTTTAGAATATTTTAAATTCAAGAAAAAAAATTCAGTGATTAACATTACATTAGCCTTCATTTCGTAATATTGATTATATCCAATTCGTTTGTCCTAACTTTTAGATTATCGAATCGTAGTTTTAGATTATCTTTTATGAAATGTTAGAAAAATCAGTGCTTTCCGAACTTTCCCTGAATCTAACTCAGAAGATTTCAAAATTTTATATTTAAGAGATTAATGCAAGGAAACATATCAATTTAAAGTTTAGTCCAAGTTTTTTTTTTAAAAACAAAGGTTAAAATAGAAATGAGAGATGGCGATCCACTGCTGTTAGTGAAAGAGTTTTGAATAAAAGTGCAGTAAATCTTTCTTCTCCAAAAACTAAAGAATAAATTTAAAACTCTGTGTTTGATTTTATGCCATTTTGGACAGCTTTTTTTTATAAAATACAATACTTTACAGTTTTTGATAGAAGATTTCAAAATGATCAATGATTTAGTAAAGAAAAAGTCAACAAAAAAGCAGCCATGAAAAAGGGAACTCTCCTATTTTGCTCTTAGAAAGAATATAAGATCAAAAATTCCAAATTTTTCAAATTAGTTTTAAAGCGCACATAATTGTTTTTAAATTATTTTAGTTACTATTGGGGGGACTTCTTTTTAAAATGTTTATAGATTTTCTCATACAGTTTAAAAATTATTAATTAAATATTTTCAAATTAATTAATTTAAATACTTATATTTCAACTATTTAAACTTTTAAAGTTAATTTTGTAAGATGAATCGTATGTTTTCAAGCTATTAAAAAAAATTTCTATTTCTACCATTCATAACATACTTTTATTCTAATTCAGTTTTTTCAACAAAAAAATATCTAATTTTTAAACTCGTTATAAGAACTTTATCATTGATTTCCATAGTAATAAATTTTAATTTTATTTTTATGTTGATAATGAAATTCCTGAATTGTTTGCATGTCATATAAATTTCAATAATGTAATGATTTTTCTTATATTTTTGCTGAAAAATGGGAAAGATCTAGAACATTCTGAATAGCTAGAAGAATTTTAAAATTCTTGAAAATAATTACGATCTTGAAATTTCATCTATAATTTTCTTTGATATTTAACATTCTTGAGAGCAATAACAAGAAAAAGAGGAAGGG